GTGGTGGTGCAGGGCAGTGAGAAAGAAAGGGAGAAATGCAGAGAGCCGAGTGAAAGGTCGGGGGGGGGGGTTTAGGAAGCCTGGATGACGACGTAAGAGGTAACGGCGGGATGTAGCCAGTGGGACTAGGGGACGGGCCTAGAGAATTATGGGGTTGAGAGGAGGAGTCGTCAGGGAGGCTCGGACTGAAGGAGGAGGCGACGTCACCGGTTACGTCTCTACGCTCCTCTTTGCCCTCCAAAACGTTGCGTATTCATCCAAAGTAATTCCCTTCTCTCGGCCCCCATGAGCAGACAGACGGACACTTGTCTGTCTGTCTGTCTGGGAGCTAGAGTACTTCAGATCACTGTGGATTACCGTGGGATTTTCCCAAACAGCCCCTGAAATCTCTGGCTTTCAACGTTTAGGCGATTTAACCTTTCGGAGCCGTAATTAACATTTAGATTCCTCTGGTACTCGGCCAGAAGTGACGCAGCCCTCGTTTGCTTTTTTTTTTTTATTACTCCGGGCGTTTCACAACGATTCAGACACGATGGGGTTGAAAAGCCGAACCTCGCATGATTTTGTGTAACCTGAAGTCACACTATTGAAATGTAGTTAACTGGTGATCATTACTCCTCAGAGAGAGAGAAACAACAGCCACAATAACGCAGCAGATATATTAAAAGTAATAATGCAGACTGAGAGAAAGATAAAGACACGATCTGTCACATAATACACAAAGTTCCGTCTTAAAATAGTGAGAACATAATAGATTTCCCCTTTTTTTTATGTATATGTAATTGCTCTACAAAATTGTTTACGAATATTTCAAAATTGTTGTGGAATTCATCAAAAAGTTCATGTGGATTTTTTTGTTGTGGGTTTGTTTCCTGTTTTATTTTGTATCTTCCTGCCTCTCTTGTCTCTGTGTTAACTTCGCTTCCTGTCCTGGTGTGTTTTCTCCGTCCTCTGTGATTGTTTCTTGCTGTGTCCGATCCTGGTCCGGTTATTCTACTTTAATAAAGCATTTTTGTTTTGGAAATCAGGTGAGGAGGTTCTTTATGATTCTATGAGGATGTTTCAGTCTTGATGTTTAAGCACTGTGGTTTGGTTTAAACGCCTACACACACACACACACACACACACACACACACACACACACACACACACACACGTACACAAACATAATACTGGTAAACATTACTTTCAACAAGGCTGCATTGGTGGTCCATGAATGACGTCATCACGGGATCCACGGACGTCAGTAAATCCATTACTAAAAACACTTGCCAGTCCTTTGGGATTACTACGCGTATAGTGGACCCAGTGTAAGTCACAAATCTGGCATTAGGCAGCGAAAGGCTGTCAAGGGGGCCTGAACACCTGATCCACTATCTAGGCTGATGGGTCCTCAGGGCAAACGAGCCTGACTGGATCACGACAACTGACCCACAACATATGTTGCTCTGAACTTTTTTTTTTTTTTTAATAGGTTTGAAAAGCACTGTCAAAATGTTATATTATGTATAAAATAGGTCCTTAAAGGTTTCAAGCACTCGGTGGCACAAATAGGGTAAGAGTTGAGCAAACTAGACATGCACGAAGAGTAAAATTCATTATTCATGTCACTGCATACTTTTATTTGAAATGTAATAGATGTCAGTGCCTCGTCTCCAATGTATGTTAATGGAAGACGCTGGAAGACGCAAACGTGTTTCTTACTCTGTCACATATCCGCACAGAGATGGGTTCTTGATTCCAGGTCATTGTCACTGAGCTCTAAAACGATTTATTTGTAATAACACTTATTAGTCCTCTAAGTTAATACGGAGCTGGGTATATACACATATATATATATAAAAATATATATATATATGTAATGTATATTTTACATTTTTTTATATTGTGAGGAGCTGTGATATTGTTTTATTTATATTCATTAAGACTTTTTTTCAGTATATAATTAAGTGTTTTTTTGTGAAAACGTTACATGAACCTGCTCAGAATTTCAATGAAGGGGGAATTAGGGGCATGTTGCATATGGAGGACCCTTTAAGGTAAACAATTCATCCGCTGATCAATTTGTTTTTTTTATTAACTGGGTCTTGAAAGAAATATTATATATATACGTCAACCCTATTACTAGCTGGGCCTGCACGCAACTTCAACCTCATTTTCTTTGAGGAACGGCAGCTCATACAAGTGTTAATCAGCAGTAGTTTACTATTAATTCACGATGTGCGCTTAAAGGTTAAGTGCAGCTGTTGCCTTGTGGCTACATAATCTGTAAAGGTTAACCAAGAACGCAGCTGTGTGGATCTAATTAAGATATGGTAATGCCAACCGTCACATTACCCCCCACCCCCCTCTACTAACTGGATCGATGCGCTCAGGCTCTTCACCACTGTCCTGTTGCAACGAACAGCAAGTTAAGACACACGCATTGTTCTGCAGGCTTTCAATGACGTATGGAAAAGCTTGTTCACATGGTAATTGTGGCACTAATTGACATATTGGTTTTCAGCTGCAGTGGCTTCTTGTCTGTAATGGTTACAGTTGCTCTCCGAGGAAGAGCTTCCATGGGACATTGTGTTTTTACATTTAATTAATTAGGCTGCTTGTTTTGATGAGTTTTTTTTTTTACATCATACGTCTTGTCGACAAAGCCCCGTTCTGGTCTCATTTTTTTTGTATACCAGTCGTTTTTGCTGATTGAGTCGACCTTGTTCTCAGCTGGTCCCGATCCAATAGCCTCAGCCTCATCCCCCGGGTCCATGATACCCTGATAGTCTGGAGACGGACCAAAGCTTGCAATCCTATTACAACATGCATCTTCCCAGCCCCAATCATGGTTTAATTAAAGCAGTCAGTCATGGGACAAGAGTCCAAAGAGGACAAGTGAATTAGTAGTCCCGTCTGGCCCAGGAGGCGGGAGGTTTTTACTTTTAATTTGTGTCAGTTATTGAGCTCGGTCTCTCAGATGTTTCAGTGACACCAAAGGTGATTTGCAACTTTTACCTCCGAGATGGAATAAGACTTCTTTGGAGCCTTGGACACCACACATGATCTATTCCAGTATACTTATTATGGTATAGAAAGTAAACAACGTGTTTTCCATCAACACATTTTAGAAACAAACAAAGCTTCTCTGAAGGAAAACAAAAACGCAGTATACATTGAATGACTCGCTGAAAAAAGGGGCCATGCGGGGCACTGAAACACAATGCTGCCATCCCGGCCGAGGCTATTTGTGGCGTGAGCATTGGCTGGCAAAGCGCGGGTATGTAATGTTTCATGTCCAGATGAGGTATTGACTGTAAGCAGAGATGACTGGATGCGATCTTAAAGACACAATGCAATTTCAGCAAGGCCAATGAGACCATCACAAGGAATCAGGAACACATTTTATCATGCGGGAAGCAGAATATTAGGCTCTGCATTTTCTTCATATGCTGAACTATAAAATAAAAGCAATATTAAATCTAACTGGGATCCTTTCAACGTGAGAAAATATAAAGTGTATTTAACTGTGGATCGTAAAATGCCAAGCTGTATGAGGTTTAGAATCTTAATATGTATTTTATTTTCTGCAATTTCCACTATTTGATGCAGTAAATGTAAGATTAAAATCCCTGTATCTTACGTGTTTTACAAAAAAAACATCACAGCTTTAGTAAAGAGATCTGACCAACCTAAAATAAAGGATTCCCTTATAAAAAAACTGTCGGATCCATGTTCCCATTAATCTTATGCAATATGTCAATACCCCTCCCTGCCCCATCAGTTTGTGTAGGGGAAATTGTTTGCATGCCAACTAATCCGATCCAAACACAAACACACACACACACACACACACACACACACACACACACACACACACACACACACACACACACACACACACAAGTTAAGGGATGTCCTTTTCAGTTACGATACCATTTAGATTATTACATAATAATCCACTACCAAACATGTACATTATCTGAGCCAATGTCCTCTCTCGTTGCCATGAAAAGACTGAACGTGTGGTATTGGTAAGATAATGACGCCTCACTGAACGCTGGTTTTTGGCACTTAATGGTTTCTTTTCACATGGTCATGAAATCAGGTTCTAAATTGGCTGCTTTACAATTATTTAAAATCTGACTGGAATGTTAAGACTACAGATATATAAACAGGTAGTATTAATGTGTAATGTTATTTAAATGTATATTTGTTATATAAATATAGTATAGTAAAAACTTTGGAGGTTGAAGGAGGTTGCTCTTATATAAGACCTTTACTTCATTTTTACTTTAATCAACTCAATTAATTAATTCTGGCGCCCCGACAGCTGGGAATGAATCATATAATAATGTTTTGTGAGCTGATGAATTGATTTAACAAAGATGTTGCATTCTTTAGGAGAGCTAACTCTTCACAGTATGCAGACTGGTTTAATTGAAAAGCACCATGCAAGTGTTTTATTTGAAGGGTCTCATCGCCTTGTCATGCATAAATAAAGCGTAGGTTGCTTCTATCCAAACAAGTGCTTAAATATTGCAACTATACGGACAGTACAACATATCCGGTGCATTCTCCCTCCAAATGTTGGATCTAATTCCACAACACCTTGAAAGGTGTGACTTCCTCAAGATGTTCAACTAGTTTTCACGAAGAGGCTCAAACTATGATCCCAATCTGTTTCGCCGTGTTGTCTTCTATTATCTCTCCTCGGTGGGAAGCAAACCTGCAGCCAGCCGAGCCACGAGGCTCTCATTATTTATATATTTATATATATATATATATATATATATATATATACATATATATATATATATATATATATATATATATATATATATATATATATATATATATATAAATCCATATCATGTTTTTATTAACTCCATTCACGCTCTGCTCCACTTGTGCACGGCCGGATCCACGGTGACGGGGCAGGGACGCGGTATCCTCAGCCACATTATGTAAATAAGGTGCAGGGGCATGTGCCAGTTAAACCGCAGTGCCGTGCGAAGTGAGACAGGAGCACAGAGCTTTGGACGGCACAAAGCCGGGGCCGTCGGTAGATGGCGGTAACCCAAGAAACCTGATCCACAGGGCTCGTCGGGGACTCTGTCTCAGTTTGCAGCACTCCCACCGAAGGCAGAGGAGCTGAACAGTTTGAAGGGCATTAATAACAGAAGCAGGAGAAGAAGAAGAAAAAAGAAACCAAAAAAATAAAAAATACCCCAGGAGAGCGCACGGCGGCTCCTCCCGAGTCCTTTGCGCGCAGCCCTCCCGAGCCGGACACGGAACGCTTCATTTGCCACGAAAGAAGACAAAAAAAATCAAAATAAAAACGGGACAACTAAAGACACCATGGAAGACAAATCGAATTCCTTCTCCAGCAACAAGGAGGACAAAGCGGATGGGAATAATGTTTTTCAGAGGCAAGACTCGATACAGAAGAACAACGCGGGGAGCCAGAACACGAAGGAGCACAGCAACTCGGTGGGCTTCAAGGGGGAGCGGGAAGAGGCCATGGTCGGTTTTGACGATCTGGACGAGGCGGCCAATCGACACGGTTTCATGCAGAGACAATTTGGGGCCATGATGCAGCCCGGTGTCAATAAGTTCTCCTTGCGCATGTTCGGCAGTCAGAAAGCCGTGGAGAAAGAGCAGGAGCGGGTTCAACCGCCCGGATTTTGGTTTTTTCTCCCTCACGGGGTTTTTGGGTAGGGGCGGAAAAAAACACTTTTTTTTCCCTCTTTGCCTCCCAACCCCACCCCCCCCCCCCCCCCCCCCCCCCCCCCTTTTTTTACCCACCCCTCCCACTGACCCGAGGGGGTCTGCAAGCTATACACCCTCACACATAACGCTCTGTCATCGGCGCGCGCACAGACCGCCCCGACGCGCTTACACGCTAATCTACCTCCGCGTTTATAAGGAGTCTTTGACTAAACGTGCCCGGTTCAGTGTGTGTGTGCGCGCGCGCGCGCGTGTGTGTGTGTGTGTGCGTGTGTGTTTCATTGCGGCATTTTTATTATGGTAGAGAGGGATGCGTTTAGGCTGCAAAGGTGTATCGGGGAGATGTCCTTGGAAAACGTGGTGAATGTCAGTTTAAAAAAACGCACGCACGCACACACGCGCGCGAGCGCACCTTGTCTGGTTGTTTCACAATTACCGCGAAGTGTCGGGTCCTCATCATTGCGACATGTTCCCGTGTGCTACGAGTGGGCGGGGGGAGGCAGCAGTACCTGGACACAACGTGACAATGCCATTGCACCAGCCGGGTTGTAAACATTGTCGGCGGCGGTACGAGACGACGGCGGCCCGCGTGCTGAAAAGAATGCCAAACCGGTTTAGGGGGGAAAAATGGCCGTGTTTTGAATCAATCCGTCTTGCAAACACTTCAGACAGCGCTGATGATCTGAGTGGCATGTTTGTGAAGGAATTTGTTCCTTCTTGGTTTGTCACTAAATGTCACAGTGACACGATTCGTATTCCTTCATTGGCAGGTCATTTCTTCACCTGAGCACATATCCTGTTGTCCTAAAGAGTGGTAGTGGTAGATGCGTCCACCATATGATCACTAGCTGGGATGAATAGTGCAAACGGGTTTAGACACACCGCTTCTAATCGGCCTACAATTGCGTAATCTATCCGTGACACGGCGCGTTCGTATATGGTAAACAAATGAGATCAGGTGCAGGACTGGTTCGCCACTGTGGCGTTTACAGGTCACCACTCATCCAATAAGCACGTCGTCTGGCCCGCGTCTCTGCACCAGTGTCCCTTGGCACAGCTTGTCGGTGCCAAGGGACACTCGTTTTCCATTGAAGCCGTACGCGTGACGCGCCAGGCCGCGTTGATCCCGCCGCTTTGACGCGGAGCTGTCCGCGGTCCTGAACCCGGATCGGGCCCGAGGAGGCAGCGCCTACGCTCCGCTCTGCAGCTTCCATGCTGCTGCTCACTCACACACACACAGCTGCTGCAGTGTGCAAGTTAAATAGTATCCTAAAGAAATGAAAGCTGCAATTCCACAGCTTTTCCTTCTTTTTTTCTTATATACTATACTAGACCATAGTGCCCCAAGCAAGCCCTCCACTCAAATCACAAGAATGATCTTAACCCGCCCACACAAAGACTTGGTTATATGCACACATGCCCATGCGCTCACACAGATGCACGATGGCGGTGGGTAAGGAGTAGCAAAACACAACAATGAGTTTAGCAATCTCTGTAAATAATTATGTAAGGAGATCGATCCCCCCTGAAGAAGATGGCCTCAAGGTTAGACATGAACGATACAGTGATTTGATTAACCCTTTTCACAATTGCTTAGCTTTCCTGGACTGTATTTCTGATTTAGTTTGAGATTAAAAACCCCATAATGGGAGATTATTCATTGAACGCGTACAGATGTGAGACATTTTGGGCGAATCCACAAGGATGTTTGCTATTTAACCTCTGCTCAAGGAGACTGGCCCCTTGTTTATTTCCCAAACTAAAAGTTCCCTAAAGATCCTTCCTCATGACATTTTCCAAAGGGCATTTATTTCACAGGAAGTCCTTGTCCTTAAGCCACTTACGAACAATACAAGCCCTCTATGCCCGTGAGATGGCCTCGTTGATTGTTCTGTGAAGTTATATATGCCCAGCGCTTCAAGCTACCCATCAAGCCGGTGCATAAACGACGGGGTTGCAAGGGTACACTTAGTTGGGTAGGTCCCCTTTTACTGTAGCTTATTAAATGGCGATCTAGTTCTCTACTCTGGGGCTCAGGTTAAAGTTAATTATGACTAGCTGCCACAGCGTGTGACTGGTTTTGTTTTCGCATTGAGAGTCTGTGTACGCGTGTCACCATAGCAAAATGTGGTTCTTGTCGCAGAAACTACCAGAGGGCTTTGCAGTACATTACAAGGTGTTTGTATGTCAGATTCTGTGGTCCTGATAGCCACACTCACTGTGCAAGTTACGATCACAAATCGGGACGAGGCGCAAAGTTGGGTACAAAATGAAAGACAAATTTTGAAGACAGCTGTGGTCTACAGGGGGAGGGTAATGGGGGAGGAGGGACACTAGGCCTATGGTCCAATTTGTGTGATCCCATTTGAAGATGCCCCCTTGTTTAGGTTTGTTTATAGTGCATGTGTCCATACTGCAAAGCTACTGCAGAGCTTTGTAAGACCAAATAGCAAACCCTGTTTGGTCTGTCAATGAAACTCTTACGTAAGTAGAGTCCAGGAACGGCACCGCCAATTACGCCAACGTAAATTGCTGTGTGGGAGTGTTCGAAACTCAATATCCAAGATATTCTGTACACAGTCGCTGATTAAAGATTAATGGCACGTTAGTAATATTCATTATTCATAGATTTTCAGAGAGGCCTCATGCACGACCTCATATACCTCAGGTCATGTTGAGGAGAGGCTTTTGTCGATAAATGGTTGGGTTTATCTGGATTTTAATGCAAAGGGAACTACCAGAGCCTCAGGTGAATGTGGATTTAAAGTAGGGACGCTTGCAAAGCTTCTAAACCAGGAGTTTACGAGTGCATTGCTAGAGAAGGAGGTGTATTTACAGCTGGATGCACATGCCCACAGCTACTGGTGTAACGGGGTGCTGCGTGCCTTCTCAGAGCTGGAACATCGAAGCAAGAGCTTCATTCAGTGATGTAGTGAGTGCTGGACGCATTCTGGACTGCCCCGGCACACTTTGCACGGTTCTTTAAAAATGAAAGGGGGCAAGTGAGCACTTTCGTATTTGAAGTTCTGGAATGCTCGGTTTTTTCAGAGAGTCTTTAGCTTAGTGGATAACTCTCTGTTTTCCCTTTTCTTATTTTAATATTTTTGTAAGAATTAGAAACCGTATGTTTTATTCATTAGACAAGGGGGTGTTTTAAAGGTCATTTACAGCATAAATGCCACCTACACAAGTCAGGAGTGAAACAGAAAGGATGTGGGCATGGAGTGGGTTTTTGATTATATTAATATGAGTGGAAAACAAATCCCACATCTCCATTATTTGAAAAATAGCAATATTTGATGGTTAGCAGTCTTTTTATTGAGGAAGCCTAGTTTTGATCGAACAGTCAAACCCTTAATGACTTAATTTGAAGTATTTTATTTTTCTCTGATTTCTTTTTTAAACACAGACTAATTGAGATATTTAAATCGTGTTTTATGGATTCATCTTGTATTTTTTTTTGTCCTTGTTTCCCTCAGATTTTAATTTTTTCAATATTAAGCATCTGAGAAGAGGAATCATAGCTGAAGTCATCACTGCAGCCTCTTATCACATTTAAATATGAATTAAAATGTAGTCATTCCAAACAGGCACATACAGTATTCACTGATACCTATTGTGTTGTATTCACATCATCCTTTCTGCTGAACCAACGGACTGAAAAGTTGAACATACTCTCTGTGTGAGAGTATTGGAAATATCATGAACTTATTTTAAGACACAAATCGCACGCCCTTTGTAATTGTTGCAATGAGCACGATTTGACGCCCGCAGGTGCAAAAATACCCTACGGTGAATATAATGAAGCACCCCGATGACCCCTGTTTACTAGAGGTAAAGACAACTCTCAGACACACGATCTGGGGATATTTATAAGACCAAGGCCACGTCTTAATCCATTCAAACAGATCCATTACTGGGTTTCCAGCCAAACGGGCAGCCTGCCAGCCATCCAGCCAGCCCATTTCCATCTTCAACGGCAGCACCGGATAGGCGGCAAGGCGGAGCGGAGGCAGGCGGCGATGGCGTCAGTGGAGAGTTTTTAGCACGAGAGATAGGATTCCTGAAAGCATCTATTTTCATTCACGGTTGCTCGGCCCTTTATCGAGGCCCGGGACGCCGGGGCGAACAGCGCAGGCGTGCTGATGAATCACTTCTAGCTCGGTTTGTCACAAGACAGAGGGCAGGGACATTGAGACGGCCAGGAAGGATGAGAGGGTCTTCTTCTAATGCGCGTCGCAAGTGTCTGCAGCACAGTTCTCCATGTCCTTGAATCATAGTTAACTCTTCGCCGTGTCAAAATATTATACAAGAGATGTAGGTAGCAACCGCGCGAGGACATCTGCACATCCGCAGCTCTCACACCCAAAGTATTACCCATTGATTGCTTTCACCATTGTTCATTGTTTTCACGAGAGTTCATTTGAATGTTAAAAATGTAAAATGTTTAACAGGTAATCGTTATTCCCAGAGGGTGAATTTCTAAAGTGTATCTGTATATTCTTATAAGGTATTTTTAGAGGATTGTAATGGATAAATTGGACAGCTCTATAAGTGAATAAAGTAAAGACAGATTACCTGCATTAACTGTCTGCATGTCTACATCTTGCATTTCTGATGAATGTGTGTCGCTTCGCAGGTTCTACTGGGACTTGATAATGCTCATCATGATGATGGGGAATCTAATCATCATTCCTGTGGGAATAACCTTCTTCTCAGAGCAGACCACCACCACCTGGCTGGTCTTCAACGTGGCCTCGGACACCATCTTTCTGGTCGACCTCGTCATGAACTTCAGAACGGGGATTGTCAACGAGGAGAGCTCAGAGATTATCCTCGACCCCAAGGTCATCAAGATGAATTACCTGAAGAGCTGGTTCGTGGTGGACTTCCTCTCCTCCATTCCAGTGGATTATATCTTTTTAATAGTGGAGAAAGGCTTTGACTCGGAGGTATACAAAACAGCGCGTGCCCTGCGAATCGTCCGTTTCACCAAGATCCTCAGTCTTCTGCGTCTGTTGAGACTGTCCCGACTCATCAGATACATTCATCAGTGGGAGGAGGTGCGTACGTGAACGTCTGTCTGTGTGCATCAGTAATTATGGTCGTTTATATCTTCTTCACCCGGCAACCGCGTATCAACCTTGAAATGTTGACGCACGTATTTAATTGTGCACGTTGTACACTTATAGGTGCTGTCAACCACCACCGGTCAAAATGTAAAGTAAGTTGGAGGATCAATGAAGTTCATTTTAATGTTTTAGACCGCGGTCCACCGGACGGATAGGTCCGATCGACATTGTGACCAAAACCACCAACGTTACGTTTGATTTGAGATGCAGTTTAGATCTGATGCGAGACTGACCACAACACCACCATTTTAGAGCCAGACGCTTCGTCCTCAACGTCCTTGCCCCCCAGCGCCCCCCCCCCATTGTCCCTGTTGTTATCGCTGGCGTTATGCATGCGGTTTGTAACACTGGGGTGTCGTTGTCAGGGCTCAACCTGAGGTTGCATTGACAGTGCGTACACCCAGTACAGTTCAATGGCACATATCAGTAACAACGGCAGTGAGGAAATCGATTATTTACTGGATGCATTTGGCCAACAGCGGCTTTCACAAACCCACTAGCAGTATCTGGGCCGTAGCGTACATAAAACAAACCGTGCAGCGTGTCCGATTCCCAGCCCCCATGCTATGGATCACTGAGCATTCATGGAGCAGGGAAAGATCATCCTTGTGGTCGTTTGCCAACAAGGCAGGCGACTTTTACGGGTTTTATGGTATAGCGTATGCTCTAAATTCTGCTATATTACCCCTTGCTGCATAATGTCGCACAACAAAATCAATATTCATGCTCCAGCAAAGCATTAATCAAGCTCAAAGTGTGGATTAAAAAAGCATTTTCTGAAAGTGAGCACCATATGGATCACAGTTGCTGGCTGTAATCTTGGCATGCAGACAAAGTGGGAAGTTGATTATAAATGTCCTGAGCTCCAGCGCTGTATATGATACTTAGTTTGCAGAGCTGCAGGCAGTGGGAGGAGGAGAGGGTATGAAAGACATATAGACGGTTAGAAAGACGTATAGACGGTGCCGCAAGGTTAATGAAAATCTGCAGTGAGCGTGCGGGGAGGCAGGCAGTGCAGCATATAGGGATGTGTCATAATGCTTCTCTCACGATCCCTCAGTCATTCCCCTTTTGTCTCCAATCGCCTTTCTGCCTCCTCCCCGGTTCTCCCCTCGAATGTCTCTCCTCACCCTTTCGCTCACGGTACATCGTTCCCCTTCAGCACGTTGCATTTCTCCACGTCTTGTTGTGACTAATCTTTTGAATGCTTAAAAATACAGTACATAAATCCAAAACAGTTATTTTGGTGTCACCGCTGCAAATAGACCCACTGATTAATATTAAAAAACGGTGACTCAGACGCGTCCGCAAGAGACGTGAGAGGAGAGAAAAGGCACTCGGTGGAAATATTCCAGGCTGTCGTAACATGTTAGGTTTAGGGTGCAGGATTAGGGCTTTAATGGAGGGACAAATGCAGTCTCCCGCCGCCTTAATGAGTTTCAAGCAGCGAACCATTATTGTATCAGGCTTGAGACGGACTCAGTTAGTTATTCAGAGGGTAAGTCTCGACAATAAATCATTCTCCATCCTGCACGTCAGTCACTCCGTCATCTGTCGCTGCGCCCCTTCTTCTTCACTTCCAACTGGTTATGTTAATGTAGTGTTCCATGACTCAGGTTTCCCTGTAAATACTTTCCCTCGTTTAAAGTGCGCGTTCCAAAACCGGAACCTCTTACGGACTGTAGTGCTGGGAAGTGGCTGCTGGGTATTATGGTCCAAGTGTAACAGAATTAGTACCCACAAAGGGGCCGCTGCATCTTATTTAAGCAACGCACTGTGATTGTCGCTCATTAGAGAGGAGTAGTAGAGGACTCTATCCGGCCGAACCGATTAGTCAGAAAAAGAATGATAGATATGATATGTGACGCAATAGTTTGATTAAGCAGTAGGACAATCTCAGTTTTCTGGTATACAGGCTGTGGTTTAACTATTTCTATTTGTCTGCACGTCTCTCCTGGTGTTCTGTTCAGTCATTTGTGCATTTGTTTGCTCATACATAATTATTTCAATGCATCGCCGCTAAGGGAGATCGCAGCATACCATGTGAAGGTCACGCAAATATGTTTTGTCAAACAGCACACACGAACGGAGGCTGGTGCACTGTTTACCTCCTGGAAACATCTCGGGGATTTTGCTTTCATTCTGGGGATCATGTGATCACAAGCTACGCCTGTAAAGAAGCTATCTCAAAGATATGTGGGACCTCTATGCTACACAGAAAGTGTTTTAAGCACTTTGTCTATGAGTCGGACAGAGAAAAAAGAAGCCCCGGGAAATGCTTTTTCACAAGGGCATGTTGTTTTGCCTCTTTGACTTTAAGCATTTTGGTCAGTTGAACTACTGTTTAAAACGACTACATTTCATTTTACCAATTGGTCAAATGCAATGTGAAAAGTGTTGCTTGTAGCGGCGAACCCAGAGAAGTATCACTTGACTCTGCAGTTCCCATCACCTTCATTTAATGTTTTCTGTTGTTTTCAGAGCCACAACTTTACGGTTTGGATTCTCACTGTGCTCAGCAGCCCTTTTTCTGCAGCGAGGAAATAATCCGATATTCTGACTGTTCACTGCCTACCTCGCGCCGGCAACGGACATAGTGCGGCATTTATTGCTTTTTATCACCTGCGGGTTTACAAATGTTGCCTCCCGGGAGTTTGTGGAGACCAAAACAGAGATGAAAGAAGACTGAAGAATAGAAACCACGATGCATCCAACCTCAGTACGCTGAGATAGATGTGTCCCCTCGTCACAGGATCCTGCAATTCACCTATAGTGAGGAGAATTATATTTAATTGCTGCATATTTAATAATTCAAGATAATGAGACGAAGTTATCGGTGACATTTTATGCCCTTTCATCTTTAATTCCACACAAATTTTAGATCTTTCAAGGGCATTTCCCCCCCTGCTAGTCTTCATATCTAACCTTGCCTCCCTTGTGTTTTTCTCATTCTTTCATGTCCGCTCAGATACAGAGGTAATTATCCCAATGACCTTATAGTTGTTTTTTCCCCAACCTTTACCGTTGCCTTTGCATTCGTCCTGATGTTGGAGAGTTCCTCCAGCAATAGAATAAGTTACCAACCCGTTCGCCGTTGATTGAGTTTCATCATCTTTGCTAGAAACATGCAGAAACAGACAACAGCACTCCTGAACCGCTGTGGAGAATCCCCACAGCTCCCATTGCCACATCTGGCTCATCACGGCCATCAGGCCTCGCGCCAGATCGCTGCTCCAGCAATGGGGCTCAGGTTGGGCTTGTGGCAGCGTACCAGCCCCCAGGGGAGGGCTTGCAACCTTTCCTCAGGTCCCCCCGGCAGAATTAGTCTGTTACTCTTCGACGGGTTGAAACTCAACAGTGACTTTATTACTTGACTTATGTTACGTCTCGTTATAAATATTTCACATTTTAATATGAATATTTATTATGTAGTACTATCTGTTACCATGCCCATGCTCAGTGAAAAGCAGAATGAGCATAACTCAGAATCAAGTATTATCAACAAACTCTCGGGTCCACGGCAAAACATTTGAGATATTTGTGATAATACTTAAGAAATAGAAAACCGCCTCTATTTCTGTAACCGTGCTGCAGTCTACGTGGTCCCTGTGGTGCAATATGTTCCAATAAAGTCTAAACTAGAGGCTGTTTTTAACTGGCAATAACACAATCATTGTTTAGAATTCCACTTCAGCATTTGTTCTATTGGATCAAGTCTTTTCCACAGTGTGTGTCGTAGTAATCGCTTTAAACGGCTTCTGTTGGGACCCAATTATTGTCTCTCTCTGTGAATTGGAATGATGCCAATGATTACCACATAGGTGAATCATTTCACATGCTAGTTTAGAAAACTGAACAGCTAACACTAGGTAAGCTTGTATAATCACCACTAGTGTGTTTTAGATGAATCATTTATGTTTTGTAATATAATGCAATATATTTTGTATCAATTGTATTATTATGTTCTCCTGTGAGGGATATTTGATCCATTGGCTTTAAGGTTAGAACTGTTCTTCTTTGTGGTTACTTAACTATAACCGAAATACCTACTTATAATACAGCGAACAGCACACGGTCGATGCGTGTTAACACGTTCCCCTGCAGTTTATGGGTGGCTTGCTTCTTTATTTTTAAACATGTATGGAGGTGTATCACAATACATGTAGCCTGGTTAGGTTGCAGAGTTGCTGTATTTTGATACCGTTGCAGCACACTGTCGCACACGGTGAGCAACACAATCTTTGCCACCTCCCTGCAGTCAACACAAACATACTCGAGTAGCAGCGTCACTTTATTCCCCCCACCACTGTGTTTTTGCATCATGCCTTTGCATTGCTTTGCATGTCCCTTTCGTCTTTCTGCTCGCGAAAGCGTGTTCGTGGGGATGAAAGTGTTTGAACATCTCATCACCAGAGACGGGGTTCTCACTTAAAAATGCCCTGAAGCGTCATTTTTCATGGGCCTACATGGGCCTACGCATACAGTCTGAGCGGCACGCGGTCTTGATGAGATGCTTCCCTGAATGAGAGCAGTTTGTTTATTTAATTTAAAGTTTTTTTCTTTTTTATAATGAGAGAGAATGAACTGAATATGCGTGAGGCTAATTGCAACTGCCTGTAGCGAGCGGCCAGCAACGCGCAGCTCCACTTTGTAAACATAATAATCAAAGGGTCTGTCATGCAAAAGGAACGTCGACGTGAGAGGCTGGATCCCTCCTGAAGATCCGATTGGTTTGTTGATTCATTGCTAATGCCGGCAAAAGATACTAGTTCATTACATGTCTTTCAAGCGGGCCGGCTTGATTTAGTCTTTTTACAATGGGATCTGCAAGTAATCTCTTTTAATTATAGCGTCCGTAGGGATACCTCGTCCGAAGCCGCGGTGCACGGTTGATTCACAGCTCTGGCAGTAAAATTGATCTGATAGGAGGG